CCAAATGCTTTTGTGCATAGGCACTTGGGGTTCTGTTTGAAGGATAGGAAGTGTCAAGTTTTTCTCCTGCATGTCAGGGAAAAACTTTTTCCACTGTGAGGATGACCAAACATTAGCACAGGTTGCCTAAAGAGATTGTGGAGTCTCCCTCCTTGGAAATCTTCAAAAGCTGTCTGGAATTGATCATGGGCAGCTCTTAAGTGGCCCTGCTTGAGAAGGGGATCGGACCACATGACCTCGAGGTCCCTTCCAAACTCAGCCTTTCTGGGATTCTGTGACAGTACTGCTACAGGAGGTAGGGAGGAGACAATGAGATAGCATGCCTAAATATAAAATAAAGACAGAATCTACAGAATCTCAACCCAAGAGCTACAGGAGGTAACGAAAACACACAGAGCCACTTAAGTGCCACAGCTAGATTGTGTACACACAAAAAGCTGCAGACATTGTTAGCCCCTACAAACCCAGCTTATAAAAACACTGCTTTAACTTCATAGAATCATAGAATCATAGAATCTTAGGGGCTGGAAGGGACCTCGAGAGATCATCTAGTCCAACCCCCCTGCCAGAGCAGGGTCACCTAGAGTACATCACACAGGAACTCATCCAGGTGGGTTCTGAATGTCTCCAGTGAGGGAGACTCCACAACCTCCCTGGGCAGTCTGTTCCAGGGCTCTGTCACTCTTACAGTAAAAAATTTTTTTCGGATGTTCACCTTGAACCTCCTATGCTCCAATTTACACCCATTACCCCTTGTCCTATCACTGGTCCTCACTGAGAAAAGCCTAACTCCGTCCCCCTGACACTCACCCCTTACATATTTGTAAACATTGATGAGGTCACCCCTCAGTCTCCTTTTCTCCAAGCTAAAGAGACCCAGCTCCCTCAGCCTTTCCTCATAAGGGAGATGTTCCACTCCCCTAATCATCTTCGTAGCTCTGCGCTGGACTCTTTCAAGCAGTTCCCTGTCCTTTTTGAACTGAGGGGCCCAGAACTGGACACAATATTCCAGATGTGGCCTCACCAATGCAGAATAGAGGGGGAGGAGAACCTCTCTTGACCTACTAACCACACCCTTTCTAATGCACCCCAGGATGCCATTGGCCTTCTTGGCCACAAGGGCACATTGCTGGCTCATGGTCATCCTCCTGTCTACCAGGACCCCCAGGTCTCTTTCACCTACACTACTCTCCAGCAGTTCAGCCCCCAACCTGTACTGGGACATGGTGTTGTTCTTCCCCAAATGTAAAACTCTGCACTTCCCCTTGTTGAATTTCATCATGTTTCTCCCCGCCCAACTCTCCAACCTATCTAAGTCTCTCTGAATGGCAGCACAGCCTTCTGGTGTGTCAGCCACTCCTCCCAGCTTAGTGTCATCAGCAAACTTGCTGAGGGTACATTCTATACCCTCATCCAGGTCGTTGATGAAGATGTTGAACAACACCGGTCCCAGTACCGACCCCTGTGGGACTCCACTAGTCACACACCTCCAACCAGATTCTGCCCCATTGACTACAACTCTCTGACTCCTTCCTTTCAACCAGTTCCTAATCCACCTCACTTCCTGATCACCAAACCCATACCTGATCAACTTTTCTACAAGGATGCTGTGGGAGACGGTGTCAAATGCTTTACTGAAATCAAGATAAACCACATCTACCGCTCTACCATCATCTATCCACCTAGTAATTTCCTCATAGAAGGCTATGAGGTTAGTCAAACATGATTTACCCTTGATAAAACCATGTTGACTGCTCTTGATGACCCCCATGTCCTTGATGTGCCTGGAGATAGTGCCAAGAACAAGTTGTTCCATCACCTTTCCAGGGATGGAGGTGAGGCTGACCGGTCTATAGTTACCCGGGTCCTCCTTCTTGCCCTTCTTGTAGACTGGAGTGACATTTGCTATCCTCCAGTCCTCAGGCACCTCACCTGTTGCCCATGACTTACTGAAGATGATGGAGAGTGGCCTAGCAATGACCTCCGCCAGCTCCCTCAGCACCCTTGGGTGCATTCCATCTGGACCCATTGATTTATGGATGTCCAGATTACTCAACTGATCCCTAACCCAATCCTCATCTACCATGTCAAACTCTTCCTCTATCTTGACTTCTTCTGGGGCTATATGAATCTGGGGCTCATAGGGAGACCCTGCAGGAGTGAAGACAGAGGCAAAGAAGGCATTCAGCACCTCTGCCTTCTTTATATCCTCTGTCACCAGGGCTCCCACCTCATTCCTCAATGGGCCAATATTGCCTCTATTGCTAGTTTTGCTAGCTATGTATTTGAAAAAGCCCTTTCTATTATCCTTAACCTGACTTGCAAGGTTAAGTTCCAAGGAGGCCTTAGCTTTCCTAATTGCCTCCCTACATCCTCTGACAACAGTCCTATATTCCTCCCACGTGACCAGCCCCTCCTTCCATGATCTGTAGATTTTCCTTTTCCACTTAAGTTTGCCCAGTAGTTCCTTCTTTAACCATGCAGGTCTCCTAGCACCCTTACTAGATTTCCTAACCATTGGGACGCTCTGATCCTGTGCTTGCAAGAAGTGGTCCTTGAATGTTGACCAGCTATCTTGAGCTCCTTTATCTTCTAGCACCCTGTCCCATGGGATTTCCCTTAATAGATGATTGAGGAGACCAAAGTTTGCCCTGTGGAAGTCCAGGGTTCTGGTCCTGCTGGGTATTTTGTTCCTTCCACACAGGATCCTGAACTCCACCATCTCATGATCACTGCAGCCAAGGCTGCCATTGACCACCACTGCTTCAACAAGGCCCTCCTTGCTGGTTAGTACAAGATCCAGCAGCGCTCCTCTTCTAGTCGGCTTGTCCACCATTTGCATTAAGAAGTTATCATCAATGCACTGGAGGAACCTCCTAGACTGTGAAAGGCTGGCTGTGTGAGTCTTCCAGCAGATATCAGGGTAGTTGAAATCTCCCATGAGGACCAGGGACTGTAGTTGTGAGGCTGCTTTCAGTTGCCTGTAGAAAGCCTCATCAACCTCCTCACCTTGATCAGGAGGTCTGTAGTAGACCCCCACAACTGTGTCACCCGCACCTGCTTGCCCCTTAATTCTTACCCACAGACTTTCAACTTGCCCCTCATCAGCCCCTGCACGAAACTCAATACATTCTAGTTGCTCTCTCACATAAAGAGCAACTCCACCACCTCGCTTCCCTGCCCTATCTTTCCTAAAAAGCACATATCCATCCATGGCCACATTCCAGTCATGTGAGCTGTCCCACCATGTCTCTGTTATTGCTACTAGATCATAAACCTTAGCCTGCACACAGACCTCTAACTCTTCCTGCTTGTTCCCCATGCTGCGTGCATTAGCATACAAGCATTTCAGGAAATGAACAGAGCACACCGGTGGGACTAAATCCTCCTTAGACGACCTGACTTTGGGCCATGGTGTGTTCCTCTTGTGCTTGTCCCTAACAGACCTGGTTTTCTCCCCTTCCCCCTTCACATCACTTCAACATTGCTTTGTCCTTCCATCAGAGAGTCTTCTCCCATTTTCTAGCTCAAATCCATTTCCTTAGCACAGGTAAAAAGTTCTGTGAGACAGAACAATGTGATGATTAATGAATTCCATAACTTAAGTGCACAGGAACCCCTCTCATCTGCTGATCTGTCGAATTACAGTACATATTAATATTTTAAACATTATTTAATGCAGTGGAGTTTTCTTTACTAAATTACCTTTTTTTGTAGAGGGTTCAGTGGAAGAAAGGAAGTTTTCAGTCAGTAACTGGGCAAGGCTAGCACTATCAGTGTTCCACGGACTTGCTCTGTGCTTCAGCCCTACCAAACTTACCTGTTATCCCTGTGCAGTTCAGAAAATACTGTTCCTGCTTGAATCTTCAACAGAATTAAGCTTCCAGACCCATAATATATTTTCATTCTCATCACCACTCATCAGTAGCTTGTAAATACACTCGCAAAAATGAAAATGGCTGCAGTCACTACAGACAACATTAACGTTCAGCTTAACTACTGAAGCCCAACAAGCAATCACTTACTCAGTATTTTATCCACCAAACAGACACAAATGCTAATAAGACTGCTGCTGTACAGCAACTCCCTGAATCTTAGTAAATTCTAATCTGCATCTGCAGTGCTCTTCAAACTGCCTGGACTAACATCCAGACACAAAAGGTATTAAAGCAATTCTTCTACACAGCAGTTAAGCTACTGTCTCTGTGATAAAAATGGTAGAGTGTGAGACTATTTTTACAAGACAGACAGCTAAGGTAAGTCTTACCATAGAAAGGCTGGTGTACAGCCCCTGTGCATGGTGGGTAAGATTAGAGAGCCAAGGAAGCAGCAAAACAGATTTTTCTGGGTTTGTTTACAATTCAATCACCAGACAGAGCTCCAAGCCAGTAGATGAGCAGCAGTAAGAGCAAGTCTTCCTTTCTCTTGCTCTCCAAATCTCCACTCCACTACCCTGGTGGGAGAAAGTGTCTGCAAGATTCAGTATGGACAAGGACACAGTTCAAAAACATGCAGACAGCCTCCGCACAACAGGACTCGGTGTATGAAGCCAACATTGAATGCAAGGCAGAGTGGAACATGCAGTAGAACAGCAAAGGCTTTAACTGTACAGTGCCCTGTTCTGCACTTCTAGCCTAAGATCTGCAGCTGGAGTGACAGCAGGAAACTGCACAGAACTGCTTACCCACAGAAGCCAGTGTCCTCAGTTTTACTAGAAGTGAGATAAGCTCCTTAACAAGCTGCTCCAGTTTCATAGCGCTTTTATCTTGTGTGATAAATTGGATAGGGAGACAATTTTTGAAACTAAAGCTCTCAAGAGCTTTAAGAAAGCTTAAAGAGACATGCAGGACAGCCTCTCAGAGACTCAGGAGCATTGCTGGCTGGTCAGTCACCAGCAACATGAAATCACTGGCAATTAAGAGAAACATTTGCTCAACACTCAATTCAAACATCCCACGTCAAAAGGGAGCAGAAGAGCTTCTTCATCCAAAGTCAACACATTTTGCTGTTTAACAGATCTTTAATATCAGTAATACAGGAAATGGCATCTCGGTGCACAATCGCACAGACTACAGTTTTGGAGGTTCTCCCATTTCAGACACAGGAAGAAAACATGAGGAGGAACATGCAATCAAACAATGATCAGCTCTAGATACATCATGAGTTTGGTCCAAAAAAACAAAAAGATCCCCACATTGAAACAATTAATCCAATTACTGCAAACATAGCTTCTCTGAGTAAGGTTAAGATATTGCATTTGTAGTGTTTCCATTATGCTTTCCTTCAGCGAACCAGCGGAGCCTGCTTGAGTGAGATGAGGACTGAACGCATGCGGGACACGTCTTTTGCCTGCTTACTAGACTTGGGATTAAAGTCACAGAGTTGAGCCACACGTTCCCATTCAGTGCCCGGAAAAATGTCTTCTGCATCATTCACAAAGGCTTCTTCAGCTGCCCTAAAAGCAATGCAATGCACCTTGTGTTAATGCCCCAGCATTTAAGGCACACCTTTCTCTCTTACAAGATGCAGTTTCTTGCAGCATGTTTCATGTGACCTGACAGCTGCTTGTGAACATCATGGCTTCTTAAGCTCCCACTGCCCCAACCCTGGAGATGAAAGTTGGTTGCAGTAGTATGCTATGCACAAGCAGTGCAGAGGATTGCTGTGTAAAATGTTGGAATACAGGTGTTTGGTTTTAAAAATACTTGTTGAGTATTTGTCTAAGGAGCCACCACACAAACTGTCAGGAAGGTACTCCTATGTAGGTATTTTATTTATGGAGAACTGCCCAAGTTGGAACTAGTTATGCCTCTGCCACTTGATGGCTTATATTGGACACTTGCCAACTGGAAATTTACAGCTCCCTGCAAGCATGTCTTAGAACAGACTCAATGTGAGCATTTAAATCAGCCCCAAGGCTTACAGGCCACCATAAAACTATCTGCTGATGATTCCCAATGCTGTAGTAAAGCAGCATGATTCAAAAGGAATTTATGTCACGAATCCCGTGCTTGTGGGTGCTATAGACTAAATCACAACTTAGCAGAGGAGATTACTTTTCTGAGGTTAGGTCACAGGATAAATACATTTCCCCTGCTCTCACCCTAAAGAGACTTTCAGGAGGCTTTTTACATTATGCACAGGTTAGTGCCAGTGGCTTCACAGCTGTATTCTTTTGGCAATGCTATGCTGCCAACACCATTGCTTCAATGCATGGATAACATTCCAGCATCTAGTTTATGTGAACTGTGGGGCCCTGGTAGCTGCCTGAGTGCAAGAGCAGTAAGCATCAAGAGATCAAACCAAATCCATCTACTCCAACAAGCAGTACAGAAAAAGCAGTGAAGATGAGTCTCCCATGGGGGTTCAGCACTGTTCACAGGGATGGAAAGGTTACAGACACCACTGAAGACAAGGGTCACTACAACACTTCTACTTTATGTGACATGACACTTTTAAGGGGCAGTGAAGATTTTTTTACTTAACTGTTCTAGGCTGTAGCAAGGATGATTTATGTTTGTGCTTAAAGGTGAAGAGAAGAAACAAGGAGAGAAAGTTTAAGTCAGATATAGAAAATGAGAATGAGTTTAATGCAGATGATCAGCTGGCTGAACATGCACTAGTAGCTTAGTCTACATTCAAGAAACAGGCTGCCAGTTTCACTCTGCAGCTCTTATACTGCACATTTGCACTGGATGTATGAAAATAAGGGTTCTATTGGAAAAACGCATTAAAATCAACTCCAGAAGACTTCAGAAAAGTCACACACCACCTGTAAATCCAGCATTTCACAAGTCTTGATTTACATCCACCTACAGTTATAGGTAACAAATTCCACACTGGACCTTCAATAGTAATAGAGCCAAACCATGGCTCACCAATACACCTTCTAGAGGTGTCACCTTAGAATCTGTGACATGGCCATCTTTCAATTCAACTCTACAAATTAAGGGAAGAAATTAAAACACATGAACAAGTCAATAAACATTGCAATCCTCCAGTCCCACAGAGACTAGCATACTCCTGGAGGCTTGAAACTCATGGCTGTATCCTCACTGATCCACAGGCTGGAAAAATTACTACACAAAGCTGAGCCTAAATTTTGTCCCAGCAGCTAATGCTGATTTTCCATTATCAACTTCTTGTACTTTTCATCTGTTCTCTATTAGCATCCTAATTCTATATGCACACACCTCTTCTACCCTGATTTATGACAGGTGAATCCTCTCCTTTCCTTTGCTTGCAGAGCTTTACCTGCAAGCACTGCTTGAATATTTTTCCAATTACATAGGTAAATGAGCACAGGTCAGGAGCTCAATGCCTTCTGCAGACTTAAACATCATGCTTCCCTGTGGAAGTGACTAGGGCTAAACACAGCACTCATACGAGACTGCAGACACTATCCCACACACCCAGCAAAGCATCTTGCTAAGCAGTGTTCACTGCCCTGGAGACAACTGTAAACTCCAACATCAAACCACTACTGAAGTCATTACCAAAAGTCCAGTAGTATGCATACTACATGACTTGATCTGAAAGTACTGGATGTTGTGCAGTGTATGGGATTCTTACAGGAAAACTGCACTTTATACTGCAGATCAGAGTCAGTCCAAAAAGTAAAGGCGACTTACGTATCTTAGCTTATACTGCCCTGAAACATTCAGAAGTCACCTTCAGACATTCAGCACTATTTCTGATCCTCCTCATTACCTAGTTGACTAGCAAACAGAATTAGTAGTTAAGCAACATACACATAACCAATCACGTCAGCGAAGGGTTGTTTGTAGAAAGCTTCATCTGCCACCCTAGGTAGCAAGTAGTCCAACAGGCAGGCAGGCAAGCAGGCAGGAGAAAAGAGATAAGGATGAGAAGTAAGAAACAGAGCTGAAGGCAGTTCTAACAAGCACATTAACCTTGTATTACCTCGACTTACTGTAACAGGAAAGCAGCTACCACATGGCATGTATCAATTAGACCACTGACTTACAGGGGTGACACAAAAGCTCTGCTAGATCCTAGAAGCTGGGACCAGCTAGTTCAGGACTGGAGTCCTGGTGTTAGCATTAGGCTAGTACCAGTGAACAGATACTACCAGCAGGAGAGAGATGTCACCAGGCTGATGAGAATGACAAACACCTTCTGTGCAACATTTGTTAAAGGGACCCTTCTCCAGAATGCGTACACTGCACTCGCCACAATGAAGCTATGGGTGTATCACCATCTCTGGTCACCAATTAGTAGTGTGCCACTCCTATTTCCATGTCTGGGCGCAACCAGAAGACTGTATCTCAGTGAATGGAAGCGTCAAATCCATAATTTTGTAGGAAGTGTGGGCCTCCTTTCCTCCTTTAGTAAGAAGGAGAGTATGCCTAGGACTTTGCTTAAGACAAATCTGCTGGGCATTTTGAGAAGAAAAATGGTGTTTCAAAAAAAAACAACAGTTCATCTTGAAGTCTGTGGGTTCCCAAAGTACTAGCCCTGATTATTACCTGGACAGAATGACACTGCCAGCCCTAGGTCAGAAGTAGAAATCTAAGCTGTATTAAGTCAGTACTATCTTACTTTATGTAGCTTGAAGGCAAAATTCCACAGGGAACATCTAAGAAAGTACAAGAGCTTATTAGGCAAGAAGCCAAGTCATCGGTTTCTGCCTCAGGGCCCATAATTAGACAAAACCCAATACAGACACAGCATTTAATTCTTTAATAGCAGAACTGAGTCAGGGTATTTCTGAAATGCTTCCAAATTGAGCAGCCGAAGGTTTTAAGATATCTAATGAAATAACTTGTAGGAAAGACTAACTAGAAGGCCACTTCCATGTGTTCTAAAGGTAACAAGTAAAATTGCTAGTCTCAAGGTTGGTAATTACAGTCACTGAAGACCTGTTCACCTAGTAGCATGCAAACAAGGAGACTAAGGAGCATGTGAGGACACTAAGGCTCCTCCTAGCAACATTCAAACTTCATGTCTTAAGAAATATTCAGTAATTCTGGTTCATTATATTAATGAATTCCTGTTGCCATTGTTGGACACTTCATCTAGATTCTAAGAAAACTTCAGGAGACAGTGTACCACTTGTGACACATTTCTTAGTAGGAGAGGCTATTTTAATGACCTGAAGGATCACTGCCTTAAAACACACTAGAAGTATTTTATCCTCTCTCTCTCTCATTACCTTCATATCCACAACTCTCCAGATGGCTGCAGAAACCTTACCTGTTGCTCACTTTTGTTTTCTGGAGCTTCTCATCTTGCCTTGCATACCACTCCTCCAACTCCTTTATTGCTTTCTCTTTCCATTCTGCTTCCTGTTTTCGCGAGTTTGCATCTGAAGATTTAAGAACTGATTTGTTAGTCACATTTGTTCCAGCTGCACCTTGCTAACATTTCAGGTGATGGCTCAGAGAGCAATCTAGTGCAGACAGTTGCTTCATCTACGATAAGGGTAGAACTCCTTATCTAGGTCATAAGAACTCTAAGTACCATGAACATTCAGATAATTAGTTAAACAGAATGCCTGTGCTGCAGAACCAGGACAGTCCACTTCAGTTTAGGATAGGCATTTGTAGACTTACTCAGGTTAAGTAAGCCTGCTGGCCTGCAAACTGTTCAAAACCAGGAACAGTCACCATGCTATGCTAGTGCTAAGACAAAGCTCAGTGAAGTCTCTCCAACGTGAGAGATTCTGGCACTTGGCATGCTTTTACACTCAGCCTACAGCTCAGAAGAGGAGCTCTATCCAGAATTACACTGTACTGAAGGCTCTTCCCTAAGCAAAAGCCTCCTCCCTAACCCAAGTAGAAAGCATACCAGTTTGTAGCCTCTTAAATGCAATGACACTTACCTGTGGACAGCTTCTCCTAGCTGTAGTTAGTTTAGTTACTAGCCCACTAGTAAGCTATTAGGTAAGATCCATATGACAACAGTCTCAGCAATTACAAAATGAGCAACATTTATCCTTTGAAAAAAGTACTGATTGGTATTTATTCACTCTCTTCTGCTAATAAAAGCTGCTCATTTTCTGTCAGCTTGTTTGTAAGTAAAGGGCAGGCCACATGAATACTCCTGAGGTTCAGGGAGCCACTTGCTTGCTGACTCCTACACCAGTATTGAGTCTGCTTACTGGAAGACTCATCTAGACTCACTGCTCAAACTCAAGAAGCATATTAGACTCCCAAAAGCCAAAAGCCACGGTTGAGAATTCTGCTGTTTAAAATGCTGCCACTAAGTTACTCACAAGCAGGAGCACTACTGCAACAAACAACCACCTTACCAAGTTGCTCCAGGCGCTCCTTTTGCTCTTCTCTCCACTTACGAATACTTTCTGGTTCTGACTGCAGTTGATCAGCTTGGGATATGGCAGCATATGAGTCTGTTGGACCATTACTCTCCTTCAAGGAAGGAACAATAACAGCATTTATATATGACAGCTGAGTATTTCAGATAACTGCCTGCAAGCTAGATAAAATTTAACTCTATATGAAGAAAGCACATAACACATTCATCTGATGTTACACTGCATTTCATCACAATTAACATGAAGAACTTCTTGCAATAAATTACAGAAGGACTGAAGCAAATTAATACAGGACTGCCTCTAGCAAGGTGGGATCAAACACAAATTCAAGTTGACTGGCAAGTCAAAGTGTGCGAGAGATTTACGCCTGAAGAAAGCAGTAGACAATACCTAGCACCTCCCTATGCAGCTGTAGGCCTAGTTCATTTCACCTTAAGTATTTGCCATGAAAGTAATTTATTTTCTTTACAGTTTTGTACATAAGACTTTAAAGTGTCCTCTGTAACAATTACCTCAGGGATATTTGCAAACTGAACTGATATTAAAAGCCAATGTTCTTTAAAGAATTCTAAAATTCTTTAACCTACAGAATTTGGATTGCTGTACACAGCTTGGAACACAAGAGGCATTTCAATATTTAACCATCAAAACAATGCAAACTGTTTGCATCTTGCCCTTCTTTGGACCTCCTGAAGCCCTCCACAAAGGAATAATGCAAAAAGAAGGAGCTAGGCTGGAATTAGCTTCACATTCAATCCAAAACAAAATAAACTGGCTGGTTGCAGACCCAAACTAGTTACAAGTAGCTAAAACAAGTTACATGTAGCCCATTCGGTCTGTTCTTCCTCTTTAAGAGGAAGCTCCACCAACCAGAGCAGCCGGTCACTTAGAATTGGAAACACAAAATCAAGGTATTTCTTTTACTTTCTGTTGTATAAGGAAGCACAAAGGGCCTGTAAGATACAATTTTCCCATCAATCTGATAGCAATGGTGAGGATATAAAAATGTTAGTAGGAGTGCAATCTGCTTCTGTCTTCACAAAGCTCAGTGTTCAATTAAAGCTGTGGTCCTCCACAGCTCTTATGCTGCCCACTTCCCAAGCATTCATTTAATCAGGGCTATCCAGCCCACTCTGATACCAGGCAATGACAATGCCTTAGCCAGACTGCTGTGAAGTTCAGATACAACACAGTGATTGCTTTAGCATGCCTCATACCTCTCTGATGCTTGAAAAAACAACTGCCTCCCCCTTTTGTCATCACCATGGCTGACTAACGTGCTTTATGTCACTAAGAAGTATATAATGTCTTTTCAGTCAGTTCCTTGTAAGACACATCTTGATTAGACAACCAGGCCACATTAATTATCCATAAAAAACAAACAGTTTAGAAAACTCTGCTTTAAACTAGCAGTAACTAGATTTAAACTAGGTAGTCAGAGCATGCTTTCAGTTTATTAGCCAGTGGCAAGTCAATGTTAAGTCATACCATAGAGTCTGTCACTCTGCTTACAGCAGTCACATCCTATTAAGCCCCGTATTCAAAAGGAACTGATGCTTTAAGTTGCCTGTAAGTTCAGAGGAGGGGCACATAAAGAGCATTAACAGCTTTTTATAAGATGAGCTATCAGAAAAGAAGTCCCTCTTCAGAGATGAGACAGAAGAACATTAGAGGCAAGAAATGAGAAGTATTAGTCTAGATTAAAGTTCTCAGAGTAAAATACCACATTCTAAGTACAGAATACTTCTACCTTACCTCATATGCATCTCCATTAACCACTCCGTCAACAGCACCTGTAAAGAAGTGACTGTAGTTTAGTCATTTGAAAGAAGACAGAACAGCCAGATTTACTGATTTCAGTAACTTGTATGGAAAGCTTCACTGCAGTATCTACTATGGGAGTTATGGAAGCTAGTGTTACTTGATACTCTGCAGGGTAACTTTCTTATCTCTACACTTTCCCTGAGAGGCACAAGACACCAAGCGAGCCATTATTCTGCAGAACCAGTAAGACAAGGTCATTCCTTCATCATGAGATGGTGCTTCAGGCTACACAGACAGCAGAGCTGATACTGCTGAGAAGCAGTGTTCTGAAGTCACTCCCACCTTCTCCTCCCTGTCTTACAAGCTGACTACTAGACAACTGTTCAGAAGTTAAGAAGCATGACTCTCACTGTTTTAGCATCTACTTGGAAAATTAACCCTGCAGCAAACACTTTATAATTCTTATCCTAGCTTGGCTGCTTCCTGATTTCTGATTAGCTCAAAAGCTACAGCTAACATTCCTAGCAAAGTCTCCTTTCTATTACCTTCTGTGAAGATATGTTTGATACCTCTTTACTTTAGCTGCAGTGCTACTCCCTCTGAAGTGACACTGGCAGGAGAGCCTCAGCAACAGGATCAGCCAGGATTCTTTGCCACAGAACCCTAAAATTTATTATTTTCCAAACACAGCTACAGGGAACATGTCAGTTATGAGAAAAATAAAAATATTAAAATTTGTGTTTATGAAAGAATTTAAATCTACAGACTAGATAAAACACACAAAGATTTTTTTAAAACTGCTACATCTCAGCAAGGCAGCTCTCTGAACAGTGATACATAATATCTGCTGAAAGATACAACAAATCATGTTACAACTTTTGTCTCTCACCCATATTGCTACCATGGTTAAACTTCAGCGTCTCCAGCACGTTAATACACTCTTCAATGAAAGAAGAGACTTACAAAGTCACCTAATAGCAGGCAAAAAATCAGGTTTGCACGACCCTCATAAATAAAACAGAAGTAATTTAAAACTAAGAGCATTATGCTGCTGTATCCTCTATTTCTTTGTGGGTATGTGTGCCCCAGTTTCACACTAGTGTTAATAGCACAAAGGAAGCTCTCCATACTCCTTTATCACGGAACTAGGCAAGTATTAAGTCCTTATCTAAAAGCTGTGAATAGCAATAATCAACAGTGTTATGTAGAGAACAGTTAAGTCACCAAGTCAAATATGGCAGTTCAGCTGGAAGATACTAGTCTCCAAGAACATTTTTACTGCCTCCAATAGAGGAAACTCAAGTTAAAACTAGCTTTTCAGTTACGAGAACATAGCATTTTATAACTAGACTCCTATGCCTGCAAGATGGTAGATAGATACTTTGTAGGGCTGCTACTCCTCTGTAAGTTGCAGGAGCCAAAAGGAAGTGGCTTGAGAGGCACACAAAGCTAAGAGCATCTGTTTACTTCTGTGGAGCTGCCCTGCACATCACTTAACATCTGTTTGGAAACACCCTCAAAGCAGAGTTGTAGAGAGCACTGCACCTTCATGGACTTGGGCAGTTACAACTACAGTTAACACTTCAGCTAAATAGGTTTATGAAGACTAAAGCCCACAAAGAAAACATGCTTACACTTCACTCTCCTTCAGTTTAAGCCCATCTGCACTATGTAGGCACACTGCAGCTGTCCACCTTGTTTTGACAAGGCTGGAATTGAAACTAAGCTGGGGTCTATAACTCTTACTGACATTAGCAGCTTGAATAAGCCAGGTGCTCACTCTGCCTGCCTTGGAAGAGCAGAGAGAAACTAACATGTTCACAAAGAACATGTCTCTCAAGCTGGAGGCAGTTTATTGCTGCAATAACCAAGAGAGGCTACCATTTAAATATACATAGTTCTTTTCTCCATAAGGAAATCAGCTGCTTCATGGGAGAGATGCCTTGGGAAGCACTGACTAACCAGCTAGGTGAGGCTAATAGATCTTGCAGATTCTTCCAAGAACTGTGATAATAAGATTATGGTTTCTCATTACACAAAATAAAACATTAATTAAGGTCTTTAGTACTCAGGCTGGTAGTCTGCTGAGGTAAAAGGAACAACATCATTGCTGAGGGCTGCAGCTGAGTTAAAACAGATGTGTTTATCTTCAGACTGCTTTTCTTCTGAAAAGAAAGTCACTAATTGGCACAGAAGTAAGTGTTGCCAGAGGGCACCCAGGTCAGATTCATTAGAAGTATTACAACAAACTTTCCATCTGTTTTGAGCTCCCTAGAACTTAAGATTAAGATGCAGAGTCAGCATGCTGACTGAGCATACTGCATGCAGAAGAGGAAATAGCATTGTACCAGCATGCTGACATATGCCAATACAAGTATGCTAACTGGAATCAGACAAATAGTTCTCTCATTTCAGCTCCTCAGTCTAAGTATTTGTATAATTCAGCAAGTCTAGAAAAACTATCTGCTTGCCAGCCTTCATATCAAAAAACAACGCTAGCTGTGTATCAGATGTCTTTGTTCACAGAAAAAATGCAGTTTTGTACCTGACTTCCCATGGAAAAAGCCTAAATACTGTTACTGGTATCATCTTGTTTTCACTGGACATGAACAATGATATCTCTCTACTGGCTTCAGAGTCAATCCAACTCCATCACTGTATTCCATCTTGAATCTCCTGAAGTCAACACTGTACATTTAGAACTATTCTAGTTAGTAATGATCCATACTGTTTGGTATCTGCTTCTGAACTTAAAATAAAGGTTAATTTCTAAGGATACTGTTGCAAAAGACATATCCAAGCACCTATAGTTTTATAACATACGCTGACAACAATGTAATAATGATCTTCCTCACAGTGTTGTCCCAAGGCAGAGTCCATTTACCCAGTGTGCAATACCAAACCACACACAGAATCGAGGTACTTGCTTTATTCTCATTCTGTGCAGAAAGCAGGGCCTAGGTGGTAAATCCACAAAGCTAGCAGACCTTCCCTGTAACACAGGATTTCTTTTATACACTAAAAAATGCAAAATCACCTTATCTCTAAGTATACCAATATAATTTGCCTACATGACTAACTAGTCCTTCTCCTTCCCTTAAAGTGGTATTGCTTCTACATTTTACGACGCATACTCAGAAGGTAGGGAACTGTAATGAATAGAGGGTCCTTCCAGCCAAAGGGAGGGAGGGCATTTCAGCACACTAATGAGGTAAGTTCACGTAGGCAGTGCTTTTTGCTAGCCATTCTACTTCTTATAACTAGACTTAAGACTAAAGACATTTCTGATTAGTATCTTCTATCCAACTCCTCTTCACACCAAGATGAACTCAGTAAACACTCCCTTCCATCAGTCATGCTGACCTGTCTTTGTCACCATCAAGAGCAACTCAGATAGTTTTTAGAGTCTGGAAGGGTTCAAAGAGGATAAGCCCTATCAGCTACCCTGCATTCCCAGAAGACAACCAACAGCGAAGCTTGTCAGAAACAGACAGCTAGAGTTAGTGCCCTCCACATGTACTACAGCTTACAACACAAAGTGCTGGGTAGCTTGAAGATAAAGACAACAATTTCATCACTTCAGCCCTACAAGCCAACTTGCTTCACAGTATGACTTAAGAGGCTTATCACTGTGATCATCAACTACTCTGAGGACAACCACTTGGCACTGATATTGGACTCAGTACTGCTTGGTGCTAAAGGAAGTTTGCTTAGCCTTGTTGACTAGCCTTTCCGAAGTCCTACTCTCAATGCAAAAGAAGACGGCCATCAGAACAGTCGGAGGACTTTGCAGAGGTAGCTCTTCTAACACAAGTCCAACCATTTCCTATTTCATAGACTAGCTCCCCATAAGGTCCTTCTGTCCAGCTATGCTTTGGACCCCAGTATCACCATACCTTAAAGCATTTTTAAGGAGCTACTTTCAGCATCTCTTCTAAATAACAAGTACACTACTTCATTGCTACTTTGAGCAAACTAACTAGTAGCTATAGTTAAAGCAACCAAAGAATATAACCAAGTTTAATATATTCTAGTATAAAGTTAAGTCATTTCACCATGCAAGGCCTTCCCATTCTTCTTCTTTTGGGCATGCTTCCCTTTCACCTACCTCTCATTCATAAGAGGATGAGAAAGAAGAATCTTCTCTGAAGTTTTTGTTTAGATAGTCATGCAAGAAACTGAGAAATAAACACTTTTCCTAGCCATAACTCATTCTCACACCTGTGTACAAAATAAAGACAAGCAGGTCAAGAGGAGTGATTTTTCCTATTTCATTTTTAATCTGCTGCCATAACAAAAGCCTCACTTTCTGCTATCTGCAACAATGTTGTGACATTAGACCTTCTGAAACTTCCTAGTAAACAGAGTATTCTCTTGTAAGCAGAAAACATTTATTTCTGCTGTGAGCTTCAGAGTAATGCAGTATCACCATGAGACAGCAAAAACAAGTTAAACAGAAGTCATCCCTTTATTATACCTTTCTCAGTGAGCATGCTCTGAAGCCTTGAGATACTGATTGTATGGCAAACCTCAGAACAAGGCTGATCAAACAAGAAAAAGTATCAATAGCCACAAACAAGTAACTCTGTCTGTGGTGCTAACTAGAGAGACAGGAGGAAACAACTACGTCCTAATGATATTTTCCAGCTAATTAAGTCTCCAAAAGGCTATTAAATCTGGTTTATGGACAAAGCAACTGAGTTTCTTAATTCCAAGAGAGGCTCATGAGCCTTTTCAGAAGATGGAGAAACATAATTCATTCAAGTTTATATAAAAATGACAGAACATAAAATTGTGAAGGCAATGCTTAAGACCAGGCAACCTACATTAAACTTGTGTGTACTTCCATGATTGATAATGCACAAAACTACGTGTCTTTGCATGTAACTCTCCATAAGAAACAACCTGACAAGCTGTCACAAGGATTTTATATTGACATACAGGTTCTAGAAGACATACACTTCAACCTGAAGTCACTCTCCTACTCAGAAGACATAGCAAGTGAACTGCTACAACCAGAAGATCTAATACTGTCAAACTGGACAGAATTTAAGAATTTGACTGTAAATAAATGCAGGAATTGATTTATCACTGAAAATTAGATGCAATAGAAGACCAAGTTATTAACAACTAGGCAACAACACAGTATTTCTTGACCTATTCAGTTATCCTGGTTTGAGCCAGGATCAATTTGAAGCAATTTTCTTTTTTGGAATTTTAGTTTTCAATTAAGTCCCTTCTCGGTAACTGCATTTCTCTGGTTTTTGATCAAGTCAGTTGCACTAACACCTAGCTTTGCAGCTCTCCAGCAGCACATGCCAGTGTTCTGCTTTGACCCAGGACAGAACCAATTTTCTTTTTTGTAATTTTACTTCTCAGTTAAGTCCCTTCTGCACTTGCTGAAACTAACAGCATGTTTTCCAAACAATGTCTGCTTCTAGCACCAATGAGGCTCGATGTTTATAGTTCTAGCTGGAGAATGGTATGCAGAACCAAGGCCAGTGGTTGGTTCTGCAAAACATCTTATGCTCACGAAACAAAAGGGAGTAAAGGGGTCACACCTGCAGCCCTCCTGCAGAAATTAGCTAACTGGACAGGTGACCCAAAATTGGCCAAAGTATTCTGTCCCACACACATCATACTTGGAGTAAAGCTGAGAGATCACAAGGGTCTTTTCATCATGGCTGGCGTATTGGGAGGACCTCATCAGTTCATCTGCCTTTGATCCCCATCCCTGTGTTCCTGCAGCCAGCTCCCATCTGCTGCTGACTCCAGGAGCCCAGTCTGGGACTTTCCCAGGGTCTGTCTGCAGCCTCAGTGGTGACGTGAGTGTTATTGTCAGAGAGCGTGATACTGGTTTTGTACATATTTGTACATATTCCATCATTTTCCTTTTAATCATTATTGTTTCACTAAAGCTGTGTAGTTTAGCTTCCAACC